AGAATTCTTTTTAATGTTGTTTATTTATTTATTTATTTAAAACGTTTTATTTATTTTTGAGAGAGAGAGAGACAGAGCATGAATGGGGGAGGGTCAGAGAGAGAGAGGGAGACACAGAATCAGAAAGAGGCTCCAGGCTCTGAGCTGTCAGCACAGAGCCTGACACGGGGCTCGAACTCACGAACCGCGAGATCATGACCTGAGCCAAAGTCAGACGCTTAACCGACTGAGCCACCCAGGTGCCCCCAATGTTTGTTTATTTTTGAGAGAGAGAGACAGAGCACAAGCAGGGGAGGGGCAGAGACAGAGGGAGATACAGAATCTGAAGTAGACTCCAGGCTCCAGCTGTCACCAAAGACCCTGATGTGGAGCCTAAACCCACAAAGTGCAAGATCATGACCTGACCTGACATCGGACGCTTAATCCAATGAGCCACCAGGCACCCCTAATGAGAATTTTTAATGTCAGGATTATGTCACAAATCTCAAAATACTATTTATCTTATGTTTTTAATTTCATGTGAAATGCTAGTATCTAACATCATGCTCTGAACATAAGTTTAATATATGTATATAACAAAAATATAAATCAAATCTTACTTTATCCTGTGCTATTTTGTTGCTTGCATTTTTTTTATTGATTAATTCTTCTTTTTCCTGCTGGAACTTCTCCAATGTTGTTTCTAAAGGGCTTAACTGCTCTTTAGCATCCTAAAAATACAAAATACAGAATTTTATATTATATTCCATTATCTTATTTCAGGTGTCAGACTTTATAGTCCTAATCAAAGTACTTTGTATGTACCAGGCTTTAAAAATTAACTCATTTGCTCCTTCCAAACACTCTATATAAACCCTACCATCCCATATTTCAGATCAGTAAACAGGCATACAAATGATTTGAGGTCACAACAGCCAGTAAATGAAGAATCCAGTATCCAAATTTTGTTTAGCTCCAGAGTCTTCTTCTTAGCCCTTATGCTATATACTACTTCAGCCAATGACTTGATTCCTAATCCAGGCCATGTGCTCCCAGTTATATGGGCATGTGCCTTCAGGTATAAGTTTTTATGAGTCTGTAGGGGCACATGTCAACTCTAAGTGGCCAAAGAAGAGGAATGCTTTTCAGGTCAGGCCTCTCTTTTACAGATGGGAATATGATGATAACAGATAGTTTTGTCCTTAAGCTTACTTTGCTAAGGCTAAATAGATATTTTATGGCAATAAAAACATACAGGTATAATGATGTTGGTGTGTCCACACCTATTTTGGAAGGAAAGTAACAAACTATTTTACTAATCAGGAGTCTACATTATTCAGCCTTGTAACATCTCTATAGCATAATTACATGATAATCAATGTTCAAAACATGAGCCTCAAGCACTTTAAGATAACTAATGAAATATCTAATGAACCCATAAAAGTAGAGACAATTCTTTAGTATTAATTGAGTGTTAGGTATATTTTTTCGTAACGAGAAGAGGTATGGTGTAGTGTGAAGTCCAATGTCTTAGACACTGAAAACCTATCTGAAAACCCTGCCTCCTACTAGCCGCATGAACTTGGCTAAGACATGGGACATCTGTAAGTCTCAATCTCTAAAGAGATTATAGCCACATATCTCAAAAGGATTACTAAGACACTGAACTCTTTAATGTCAAAGGGCTTCATAAACAGAAAAAAAAAATTGTACAAATGTAAGGTATTACTATTTAAAATTTTTTTTTAATGTTTATTTATTTTTGAGAGACAGAGACAGAGTGTGAGTGGCGGAGGGGCAAAGAGAGAGAGAAAGACACAGAATCTGAAGAGGCTCCAGGCTCTGAGCTGTTAGCACAGAGCCCAACGTGGGGTTTGAACTCACAAGCCGTGAGATCACGACCTGAGCCAAAGTCGGACACTTAACCGACTGAGCCACCCAGGCGCCCCAAGGTATTACTATTTTATATCACACTCTAAGCCTCTGATAATTTATAGTAAAAAAATACTTAAGAAACATTTATAACATTTAATGACAGGTTCAGTAATTTATTTAATGCCCAGTGAATGTTTATAATTATGAAAAAAACTAGGTAAGATTGTTATTTTGATTAATCTAGATAAGGAATGCCAAATGATTTCCATTCCATGTGCCTGCTCACTACATTGGGAAGGACTCTGAGACTACATCTCGAATCAAACAGAAAAAGTGTTATGAGTGGGAGGCAGTGTCTGCCATGGATAGAGTAATCTGCAGGTAAGACAAATGTCCCATACAATCATGTATGTAGTTAGCCAGCCACACGCTGACCACCTCCAATGACAGGAAATTCACTAATTAACCAGGCAGCCAATTCTTGCTTATTATCGCCAAAATCCTCCCAGACATCTTTACCTATTAGTAGAAGTTCCATCACCTAGGAGCCATGCAAAGAATTATACTATTTTCATTTGATCCTCACAATATCCATAGTTTTAGCTACTACAGCAATAAAGAACACTTCATGTGTTTGAACTAAGGTAAAAAACATATATGTATGTATGAATCTTTTTACCTTTATCTCTCTGAATAAGGACTGAACTTCAGTGGATAATTCCACAGTCTGCTCCTCCAGTTGCTGACGACGTTGTAAATTAGTGGATATCTGAAGTTTCTCTGACTTCAGTTCATTTGTTGTACTCTTTAAGTGTTGAATCTGTTCCTGCTGGTCCTGTATAAGCTTACGATTCAATTCAATCTTACTGGAAACTGCATCAAAATACATTCACACCGTGACTAATGTTAAGGATACAGAAAATACTACAAACAGCAACCTTCCTTATATGGATTCTATGGAATTCACACAGGCTGAGTTTCCATGGGTCCCACCCCCTGTAGTAAAAGTGCTACAAAACCCCTCTTGACCAGCCATGGGTAAGGATCACAGGGCAGAAACAGTAGAGCTCCTCTGACACTTATCATTCAAAACCTCCCATCATTTAAAATTTGTTGTGCAAAGCAAGGAAACTTCTCTTTTGAGAAAAGAGTGGATATACTGTGGACTGGAAGAACATAACAGATACAAAAGTTATGATAAAAAGCATAAGCTGGGATCAAGTCTCTATGCGTACATGAAGACAGACTCTATTACCTGTATCTAACTTGTGTTGTTTTTCTTGTTTCTCCTGGTTTACTTGCTGGACAGTTCTACCCAAGTCTAGTCCTTGCAGCTTAGCTGCTTGCTGTGCAATTTTTCTTTCAACATCTTTAAGTTCCATCTTAAGAATAAAACAGTTATTTCCTTTAACAAACTTGCTACATTATAATTATTCAAAATCTTAAAAAATTGCTATTATTTTAAAATCTAAATCTGCAACTGATTTCAGATATAATTTTAACAAAGTTTAATAGGATGAAATGAATTTTAATAACTTAAATGACAAAAGCAAACTGACTAAAATGAAAATAAACAGGACTACTTCTTAACTCTCATATTTATGAATGAAACATCGAAACCCAGGAATGTAAAGTTTAAGCAGACTATCTGCAGTTCACGACAGGGAACTCTAAATGCAAACTATACGTGAACACGATGTACTGTTTTTTACCACTCTCACATTTCAAACACCAGGAAACAAGTTGTTTTTTGTTTTTTTTTTTTTTTTTTTTTTTTTTTTTTTTTAATTTTTTTTTTCAACGTTTTTATTTTATTTTGGGGACAGAGAGAGACAGAGCATGAACGGGGGAGGGGCAGAGAGAGAGGGAGACACAGAATCGGAAACAGGCTCCAGGCTCCGAGCCATCAGCCCAGAGCCTGACGCGGGGCTCGAACTCACGGACCGCGAGATCGTGACCTGGCTGAAGTCGGACGCCTAACCGACTGCGCCACCCAGGCGCCCCAGGAAACAAGTTTTATTCTGCCTTAAACTACAATAAACTTACCTGGAATCTTTCCATAATTGTAACATCTGTCAGGCATACTTTAGCACTTTCTTCTTCAGGCATTATTGTGCCCAAGAGTGTTTCCTGTTCTTCTATGTCATTCTTTAAGCGCTGTATGTCTCTGTTGACATTTTGCAGTTTGTTTCTTAATTCTGGTATTTCCTTCTCCTTCAAATCAATTATGCTTTGCCTTAACAGAGAACACACAATTAAAAATAAGCTATCTAATGTTTTTTTTATCATGAAACGGAAGTCCTAAATTTTTGGCAAGAATATCATAGAAGTGACTGTACCCTTCTCAGGGCATCTCATCAGTGAGGACATGATGTCATTACATCTTATTACTAGAGATGTTAATCTTGTTCACTTAGGTAACATGGTATCAGCCAGATTTATCTGCTATAATGTTACTATTTTTCTCTTTGTAATTAATAACTTATATTAGGAGAAATATGTTGGGACTATGTCATTATCTCATTTCTTCTCAAACTTAAGAAAAGTTTTTTTTTTAAATGCTTGTTTATCTTTGAGAGAGAGATTGTGAGCAGGGAAGGGGCAGAGAGAGAGAGGGGACAGAGGATCCAAAGCGGGCTCTGCACTGACAGTAGAGAGCCTGATGCAGGGCTTGCATGAACTCATGAACCATGAGATCATGACCTGAGCTGAAGTTGGATGCTCAACTGACTGAGCCACCCAGGTGCCCCTCAAATTTCTGCCCACTCATTTTAGTATCCGATGGCAGATCTTACTCACAAAAATTACAATATTCCCCCCTACTTCTCCACAGGAGATATATTCCAAGATCCCTAGTGGATGCCTCAAACCCACTTATATACAAAATGAACCTTATATATACTGTTTTTTCCTATATAGACAAGTCTATGATAGAGTTTATAAATTAGGCACAGTCAGGGGTGCCTGGGTGGCTGAGTTGGTTAAGTGTCCAACCACCTTAACCTTAGTCAGTTTGGCTCAGGTGATGATCTCGCAGTTTGGGAGTTTGGAGCCCCGTGTCAGGCTCTGTGCTGACAGCTCAGAGCCTGGCGCCTGCTTCAGATTCTGTGTCTCTCTCAAAGATAAATAAACACTATAAAAAAACCCTTTTTTTAAAAAATAAATTAGGCACAGAGATTAACACTATTAATAAAACAATTATAACAATATACTATAATAAAAGTTATATGAACGTGGTCTCTCTCAACATATCTTATTGTACTGTACCCTTCCTCCTCTTGTGGTGATGTTAGATGATAAAGTGCCTATATGATGAGATGAAGTGAGGAGAATGATGTAGGCCTTGTGACTTCAAGTGAGGCTACTGTTAATATATGTCAGGAGGATCATCTGCTTCTGGACCATAGTTGAGCTCAGGTAACGGAAACAGCAGAGAGTGAAACTGCAGATAAGGGTGACTACTGTATACTGTGCACTTTGCCAAACAGAGATTTTCTATAAATTAACTGACCATACTGATCAAAAGTATCAAGATGGTGAAAAACAAAGAATGAAGAGATGCTGAAGACTGCAGGAGCCTAAGGAGAAATAAAAACAATGCAACATCGGATCCTGGGTTGGATCCTGAAACAGAAAAACAACATTAATGGAAAGTGCTGAAATTCGAATATGGTTTGTAGTTAACAGCATCACACAAATGTTAATTTCTTGGTTTTGATAACTAGTTTATGGTTACATAAATTGTGAACATGAGGAAAAGCTGGGTGAAGGGTAGAGGTGAATTTTCTGTACTATTTTTTGTAATTTTTCTCTAAGTCTACAATTATTTCAAAATAAAATGTTTAAAAAAAAGATGGAAAAAAGGAAGGAGACCACTCAGCCAAATGCCACATGGGATTATGGTACAAAAGCTGTTAGCCAGTTTATCGCACCTACTGTAGCTAATGGACTACCACTCTGGTGGCAGGAAGACTGGCTCCACATCTAACTTTGTTGAACCTCTGAAACAAAATTTGTATTTAACCCTAAAAAAAAAAGCTATCAATTTTATTTCTGAAAAATTCCAAATTCTTAATTAAAAGTTAGTAAAATAAATTAAATTGATCTCTAATGGAGTCTTACAGTAAACTAAAGGAAAAACCCAAAACTCAAGAGTTAGCTCTGGCACACTGCTATGAGTTAACAATTTTTAAAAGTCTACACTACGACCAAGAAATGCCAACCTGAACTGATCTGTGGCAACAGAAGACCTATAGTTTGTTATGCCACTGAGATGAAAAAATTTCCTGAGTAATTATGAAGGTATGCAGATTCAGAGTAATTCCATGCTCACATTACTTCCTGAATCTTGTGGTCATAGACCATGAGCTGGTCTTAAAGTATGTTCCTAGTACCTAGACAGTGACATGGCTACGATAGCCCAAAAGACAGTCAAGCATTCACTTGACTGGGGACATCTTTGTGGAAAACTACAGGTATCCATTCAATTGTAACCCTATTTTTACATTTTCACATGCACACAAAAAACCTCTAATTGATGTGGTCCAGATTTTGATGCCTTCTTTTCTGATGATTACCTAAGATGCTAAAATAAGTATCATAAGAATAAAGACGTTTCCCAAAAGAATGGGGTATTGAGATTAGGACTGTGTTCTTTTGTGTAAAATTTTCAGAAACTCAGTTCTATTTTTGTGACAGCATTCCTTTTCCAAGGGGCTTTTAAGTAAAAGAAACCAATACAGATATGCTTGGGTGAAAACATCTTTCAAAGCAATGGGGAAAAATAATGAGTTTTTACTGAGCTGTCATAATAAATAAACCTGACTCAGTACTAAGCAAAATGATAAACACGTATATTTTCATCTGAGATTTCATTCACGATGATGGTCTTAATATATTAAGTATTGATGAGTATTGGCCTTTAAATAAAAATATTTCCCTTGGGGCGCCTGGGTGGCTCAGTTGGTTAAGCATCCAACTTCAGCTCAGGTCATGATCTCATGGTTCGTGAGTCTGAGTCCTGCGTCAGGCTCTCTGCTGACAGCTCAGAGCCTGGAGCCTGCTTTGGAACCGTGTCTCCCTCTCTCTTTCCTAAAAGTAAATAAATATTAACAACAACAACAAAAATTTCCCTCAAAGAGGATAAGCAAAATCTCGTTCCTCACTACCTCTCTGAGCTCATCGTCAACCATTTTCCCTTTGGCTTCAGGGATTTTGGACTGCCTGGACAAATATTGTCCCTTATTTCTCTCATGTCTACACTCAGTTGTCACCTTCAACAGCAATTCCCCTCTCACCACCACTCAGATCTTCTGTACTTCCTTACTCTGCTATATATTTTTCTCCAAGGCACTGATTTACCTCTTAGACTACATATTTATTTTTCTAGCTTCAGGATATCTTACTTTGTGTGTAGTGACCAGAGTGGCATATAGTGGCCACTCCAGATACTAGGGTACTATATGGATTAGTCAGCCACGAGTACTTTGACATTCCTCCTAATGAGAGGTGGAGTCTGTGTCCTCTCATTGAATCTTGGCAGGCTCTGTGACTACTGTTGACCAAATAGTCAACAACAGAAGTAACACTGTGCCAGGTTTTGGGCCCAGGCCTTCAGATACTAGCAGTTTCTATTGCCTGTATCTTGTACTACTTGATCTTAGGATCCTTCATTTGGTTATCCAACCACTCTGCTGCCAAAAGCCCAAAACACATGTGTGGGCCATGCGAGGGCATTGTGTTTGACAGCCCCAGCTGAGCTCCCAGCTAATAGTCAGTGTCACTGAAAGTCATCTGAGTGAGCCATCTTGAACACTGAGCCCAGTAGAGACTTGAGATGACTACAGCCAACATCTGACTGCAACTGCATGAAAAACCCTAAGTGAGGAACTACCCACCTAAGCCCAGTCATGCCACAGAAAATCCTAATAAATGGTTGTTGTGAGGCACTAAGTTTTGAGGAGGTTGTCACGGAACAGTAAATAAGTGAACAGATACTACAACTCTCATTCATTCAGCAAATAGTTACTAGTATTACAACACAGAAGGAATTAAGGAAGTAAAGCAATGAATAAAGTATGTACCCTACACTGAGAAGGGGAGCTCTGATGGCAAGGGTCCTAAAATATAATACAATGTTGATTTCTGCTACTTATATCAATATGACACAGAACTAAGCTCACATTTCCTCTAAATGCACTTTCTACCAACTTGACATTTTATCTTTTACTTAATCTTTTTCCTTTCAAGATACTGCCTTATTCCTTTCCCTCCTTTTCATTCTCAAACTACTGCTTTTGTCTCCTTATCACATTCTCTTTATAGCCTTCAATAATCTAGTTTTCACCCTGAAGACTATATTAGTTATCTATTGTTACATAACAAAACATTCCAAAACTCAGCAGCCCAAAACAACAGCACTTATTTTAAGATCAGAAACAGCCATCCGGGTACTTTTGGCTCAGGATGTCTCACTGAAGTGGTAGTCAAGCTGCTGGCCAGGGCTACAGTCATCTCAAGGCTTGACTGCTGGAGAATCAATTTCCAAATGGTACTCACTCGTGTGGTTGTTTGAAGGCCTCAGGTCCTTGTCAAGTGGGGCCCTCCACAGGGCTGCTCATATGGTAGGTGGCTTCACCCATTTCCAAAAGAAAAGGCGAGCAGGCAGCTAGTAGTGTCTTATATAACTGAATCCTGGAAGGGACACACTACCACTTCTGTATTTTATTGGTTACACAGACATATTTTATTGGTTACACAGACCAATCCTAGAACGTGGGAGAAGACTATACAAGAGCATGAATACCAGCAGGTAGGGATCACTGGGGATCATCTTGGAGGCTGGCTACCACAAAGCCTATCTGCTTAGATTTTTCTGACTTTTTCTCCTGAAATTTCTCTTTGGTTTTCCAGGACAACATACCCTCCTGGCTTTCCTGCTTCAAGAGTAGTTCTCACTCTTTTTTTATTTTTAAATAATTTTAAGTTTGTTTATTTATTTTGAGAGAGAGAGTGTGCAAGTGGGGAAGAATCAGAGAGAGGGAGAGAGAGAGAATCCCAAGCAGGATCTGCACCACCAGCACAGAGCCCGATGCAGGGCTTGAACTCACTAACTGTGAGATCATGACCTGAGCCGAAGTTGGATACTTAACCAAGCCATCCAGGTGCCCCACATTTTTTTTTTTTTTTTTT